AAAGTGGAAAAAATAAACGTCTACTACCATAATCGTTATAAAACACGAATCGATAGATAAAATATATGACAATTAGAAGGCAATTAATCACGCACTAACCTGGGAAAAAGGCAAGTGGAATGGACAAGATCAAAACGGCGCGGATGACCCAGTGCGCAACCACATCTGCGCAACAGGAATGAAGCTCTCCCATTGGTCGATTGCCACGGTGCGAATAAGATAGAAACAAGGACAATTCGCACCGTCACGGTACGAATAGCCAGTGTTTACTATTATTATTCTTATTTTTATCATTGTTGTTATTATTATTATTATTATTTATTATCATTATTATTATCATTATTGTTATTATTATTATCATTATTATTGTTATCATTTTTTTATTATTATTATTTTTATTATTATTGCTATTATTGTTATTATTATTACCATCATTATCATCATCATTATTGATATCACCATCATCATCATGGTGCTGTCATTATCATTAACATGACTATTATCATTACTGCTATAATTATTATTACTGTTATCGTTATGACGGATTATTGTTTACCATCATTATCACTGTTATCGTTGTCCTTTTCGTTCTTTTGTTTATCCATCTTCGTGTTTACTGTATTTTTTTTCCTCTTCTACAGATGGAATGTTTCCTCCATTTAGATCCACCTATTACTACAGTGACTATGTTGATGCTTTGAAAATGTTCGATGTAAGATATCATTTTCGTTCTCTTTCTCTCTCTCTTTGCCTGTCTGTCTCCCTCTCTCTCCTTTCTCTGTCTGTTTATCTGTCTCTCTCTCTCTCTCTCTCTCTCTCTCTCTCTCTCTCTCTCTCTCTCTCTCTCTCTCTCTCTCTCTCTCTCTCTCTCTCTCTTTCATCCTTATTCCTTCTTTCCCTACTGTATTCTTCTGATGTATATTGTGTGATATGATATAAAATACGATCCCGTATAATATAACCACATATAACACTGAATGATAACATTACACAACGAAGGATAAACGTACCAAGGATAACGCAATGAATGAACAAAAAAATATGATAATAATAAACAAGAGGATATAACAAAATCACAACTAAATTGAGAACCGGGATGATATAACCTATGTAATATAAGGATAATTATATATCCAGGATGATGTAACCATTATAATATGAGGGAAAAGTATATAGCCAATATGGTATAAGGGAAATTATATGTCCAAACTTAGTTCAAGCCAGGATAGTATATTAAAGAGACAGTCTCATGTGTATTATGTTAATCGGCAGTAGTTATGTCTAGCATTGCAACAAGCACAGTCATATATATACTAGAATACTATTTAACCCATGCAATTTAATTTCATCTTATGAAAATTATTCTAGCACAATCCAACATGTTTTAACACCCCCAAAAATATTCCAACACTATACTGCTTAATCTAACACAATTAGACATATTTAAGTACAAGACAACAATACACACGTTGCGACATATCTCAACATAGCCCAGCGCATCTTAACACAATCCAACATATTTTAACAGAGCATAATACTTTCAGGATTCGGGCCTGTACGTCATATCTGACCAGATCGTTGAGACGCGACCGTGTGAGGAAGGTAAAGTTGTATTCAGATTCAAAGATCAAAAAGTTAAGATTTAGATTTACTTTTTTAAAACAAAAGTGAGAATTTAGGTAAATAATAAGAGTGTAGGATTCATAATCAAGATATTTTTAGTGTTATCGTTTAAAGTTCTGTATTGCCTCCATTTTAATTACTTCTTCTGCTATAATTATGCTTCTTGTATTTTAGACATATCTTTTGTTTATTGATTTGTTTAGAAATGGATTTTTTATCTTTGTTATCAACAGCACTCTGTTTCTATTTCGTATCACAATTTTATCTAAGTAAATCTCATTAGTGTATCTACAAATTACGATTTCAGTAATTTCAATCATTTCTCTCTTTCATCAGTAATTATCCTTGTCATTCATCATCAGTTTGTTTTCCTTTATTAAAGATTATTCTTTCCATCAATCATGTTTTTTTTCTTTATCGTTTCCATTCATCATCATGATTTATTTACTATTTACTTATTTATTTACTTTATCAGTGATTATCCTTTGTATATATCATCTTTTTCATTTCTCTTGTCAATAATCATCTTTTCCATTCAGAATATATTTCCTTTATCAGCCATCCTTTCTATTCATCATTTCCTTCCTTTATCAATTGTCATCCTTTCCTTTATTTCTTCCTTTATCAGTAATCATCTTTATATTTTTTTAATTAATTATCAAAATTTAGCTCTTTTATTAATAACCTTTCTTTCCATTTTTTTTTACCAGTATTTACCTTTTCCATTCATCATCATCAGTTCTTTCCTTAATCAATAATTATCTTTTCTTTCCGTTATCCATTATTCATCATTATCATCCCTTTTATTCACCATCAGAATTCCTCTCCTTTATCAGTAATTATCCTTACCTTCATCATCATAATTTCTTCCTTTATCAATAATTATTCTTTCTTGCCTTTACCAGTTATTGCCATTTCCTTTCATCATCACATTTCTTCTCCCTTATCAGTAATCATTCTTTCCATTCATTATCACATTTTTTCCTCTGTTATCACTAATTATTTTTTCTTTCTTTTATCAATAGTTATCCCTTCTCTTCATAATCACATTTCTTCTACTTTATCAGTAATTATCTCTTCCCTTCGTCCTCACATTTCTTCTTTATCACGAATTACCCCTTTCCTTCGCCCTCACCCCCCCCCCCCCCACGCGTCCCTCCAGACAGCGGCAGCGACTTCAACTGGGGTTTCGGGAAGGCGATGCAGCGCGGAGAAACGACCGAGCAGCTCGAGTCCAGGCCGGACACTGAGCCTCGAGTGCGCGTGGCCGGAGCCTGGCTGTGGGAGGTGCTCTCGGTGCCGTGAGTGTTTTTTTTCGTTTTTTTTTTTCTTTCTTTCTTTCTTTTTGTGTTTGGTGGGTAGTTTTTTTTTTCTCTTTTTTTGTGTGTTTGGTTTGATTCTTTGTTTGAATATCTTTATATCTCTATCTCTCTCTTTCTCTTTCTTATTCTTTTTTTTCCCCCTTTTTTTCTCTCTCTACCTGTCTGTCTATTCATCTCTCTCTCTCGCTCTCTCTCTCTCTCTCTCTCTCTCTCTCTCTCTCTCTCTCTCTCTTTGTCTGTCTATCTATCTATCTATCTATCTCTCTATCTCTCTCTCTCTATCTATCTCTTTCTATCTATCTATCTATGCCGCTGTTATGTTTTATATTTTTTGTTATCCTTTAAGTTTATCCCTGTTGTTTCCTCTCCTTTTTATCGTTTCGTTCCTTCCTCTCATGTTTTTTATCTATTTTATCTATTTTTTATGTTTGCATTCTAATTCAAAATGATTTTATTTTGGGTATTTTTATTTCATTTTCGTTTTATTTATTTATTTTATGTATATTTCCCTTTCCCTTCATTGGCTCTTACGCCTCTTTTTATTTCAATTCTTCAGTTGTTGTTTTTTTCAAATTTCTCTCCTCCTCCTCCTCCTCCTCCTCATGCCCTTCCTCCTCTCCCTCTTCTTATTATTATTCTTTTTCTTATTCTTATTATGTCCTCCTCCTCCTCCATTAGGGTTTCCTGTTTTTGGGATTTTATAGCATCCCGGGATTCCGGGAAAAATCAAGACATTTCCCGGGATCCCGGGATTTCCCGTAGCAGATAATGTTTGCTAATACTCCTTCTCTATCGTAATTCGTAAATGAACCTCAGTAGTACTTTTTTTTTTTTTTTTTTTTTTTTTACAGTAACAGGAGCGACTCAAGGGCACAACAAAAAGACAGAAAAATACGCTGTTACTTACCCTGTGAAAGTGTGAAATAAGTATTTTTAAATGACATAGAGCTTCCTAATACGTATAGAATATGAATTTTTGCATATTACCATATCCATATAGAAGCTTGTCCAGTAGCACTGGCCACCTCCACTGACCCCCATCAAGCCATCTTGCTCCACAAGACTGTAAACTACACAGAAAATGAAACTATGGAATAACCTTTGCATATATTCAATAACATATGTAAAATAATTTGAACACCATATTCCACAAAACCTAAAAAGTGATTAAATAAATAAATAAGTAAATAAATAAATGAAAATACTGAAAGTTCCGAAATGCCCTGAAATTAAAGAAGAGTAGATATTATCTGGTATTTTCCCAGTGTATTTGAATAAAGCTGAAGAAAATAAATATTCCGTAATGCACATACAAAATCATAAAAAGAATATTTGGAATTTAGGCCCAACTTTCCAGACATGGTAAACGAAAAGAAGGAAGTGGGACTTTAAACACCCAATGCTAGAGTATGGAATGGCCTGTAGATAAAAAAAAAAAAAAAAAAAAATCACAGCTGCAAATGCAGTCATACACCCTAAGAATTATTTTTGAAATAACTCTTCAAAAAGCACAAACAGTCAATACTACGATCACTGAGCTTTGATCTTAGTTTGGTAATAAAAAGGCCAGCTGCTGAAAAAGCCCTTTCAGATTCAACTGACGTTGGTGGTACAGAGTTGAGAGCCTGGAACAATTTTTCTAAATTCTGTGTTCTATCCCCAGTTGCCTCAAATACACTGAATTCCTTCCCGATGTAGTTACATTCACTTCTCTTTTTTGTACTTTGTGTCTGAATCTGATCTATGGCTACCTGGAGTCTATCAGTGAGTGAGCTTTGTTGATTTACAGATGTTTCCACATTATCACTAGTTGTAGCTTCTTCATCACTTACTTGAAACAGTCTTCCTAACAGCTGTTTAGCTGACTCCACGATGGCAGACTTACGGGGTAAAGCTAATGGTAATCTTTCCTCACATCTGTTATAAGCCTTACCACAATGCAGGTATTTCATAAGGCCTACGAGAACCGCACTCCTCCTTTCATTTATTCTGCTATAGAGAGAATTTTGCAGCTTCATTGAAAATGATGACTTTTGTTCATTCAATTCTTTCAACATGAATGAAAACACACCTTCAGCACTAAGAATAGTTGTACCTCTGCATCCCATGTCGTCGCTCGTCAGCTGATTCAGCTCATCGCTGTCTCGCTTCCAGCCCAGGCATCTCTCTCTCTCTCTCTCTCTCTCATACATTTTCGTATTTTTTAGCTGACATAAGAAAAAAATAATAAAAAGAAGTTTCCCGGGATTTCCCGGGATTTCACATATTTCCCGGGAAGGAAAAAAAGCCCATTTATGGCCGGGATCCCGGGATCCCGGAATCTCGGGATCCCGGGAAGGAAACCCTATCCTCCATCTCTTCTAACTCCTCCTCCTCCTCTTCCTCCTCATCCTCCTCCTCTCCCCCCCTCCTCCTCTCCCCCCCTCCTCCTCTTCTTCCCCCTTCACCTCCTCCTCCTCCCTCCTCTTCCCCCCTTCCTCCTCCTCTTCCCCCTCCACCTCCCCCTCCTTCTCCCTCCTCTTCCCCATCTTCCTCCTCTTCCCTCTCCACCTCCTCCTCCTTCTCCCTCCTCTCCCCCCCTCCTCCTCCTCTTCCCCCTCCTCCTCCTCCTCCTCCTCCCTCCTCTTCCCCATCTTCCTCCTCTTCCCTCTCCACCTCCTCCTCCTTCTCCCTCCTCTCCCCCCCTCCTCCTCCTCTTCCCCCTCCTCCTCCTCCTCCTCCTCCCCCCACTCCTCCTCCTCCTCCTCCTCCTTCTCCCTCCTCTTCCCCTCCTCCTCCTCCTCCTCCTCCTTCCCTTCCACCTCCTCCTCCTTCTCCCTCCTCTTCCCCTCCTCCTCCTCCTCCCCTTCCACCTCATCCTAATTCTTGTCCTATTCCCGCAACTCATTCCCAATACTGCTTCCATTCCTCCTCCTTTTAAAAAATAGTTTTAAAATATATAAATAAAAACAATAATAATAATAACAATAGCATTAAACCCTCCCTCCTTCAGCCCGACGGGGATCGTCCGCCAGCTGGAGCTCCCCGACACCATCACCAAGTGGGTTGGCAAGGCCGTGTGCGCCCACCCGGAGAAGGGCGTGGGGCTGTCCGAGCGGGCGTCCATCACCACCTTCACGCCCTTCTTCTCGGACTTGACCCTCCCGCCCTCCATCAAGCGCGGCGAAGTCCTCCCCGTCAAGATCTCCGTCTTTAACTACCTGGACCAGTCTCTGCCGGTGAGTTGGTGGGGAGGGATGGAGGGAGGGGGGTAGGGGGGAGGGGGAGGGGTAGAGGGTAGAAAGAGGATGGAGAGAGGATAAAGAGCGGATAGAGAGAGAATAGAGAGAGGTCAAGGTCTTCAACTACCTTGATCTTCCTTCCGTGTCATCAACGGAGATATTTTGTCGGGGGAAAATGTTAGTGAAAATAAACGCTCTCTATAAGCAGATCACTTTCCATGCGCTAGGAAACTGCCGTTAGTGTCCTGAAATTTATTCCAAGTAAGTAATTTCAAAGAAATGCAAAAGCGGTAAATTATGTCGCATAAGTGAGGGCCCCATTAACCATATTACGCACAATAAACTATTGTACTAAGACCAGACGACGTTTACGGAACCAAACTACTCGCCTTCATAACTTAGCGTTGGTGTTCCTCAGGATTTCAACTTCTTTCGATCCTTACATTCCCTCAAACTCCCTCTTCCTTCAGGTACGAGTGATCCTTGAGGAAAGCCCCGAGTACGAAGTGATAGAGGGAGAGATAGAGAACGCCAGAGGAGGATCAGGAAAGAGCAGGCAGACGTTCGAATATAGCGTCGTCCTCAGGGAAGCGACCGACCAGGAAACCACGTACAAAATCCTCAACTTAACCGAAATCAAGGACCCGCGGACGAACTCGAACGACCCCCCCGGCAGATCAGCCTCGGAGGAACCAAGACTTTGGGACCAGCGCCGGAGAAGAGACCGAAAGGACGGGAGCCGGAGAGGGCCCAAGGACGACCGGCATTCCTCCACAGGCAGGAACCAGAGGACGACCTGCCTGGGGCCGAAGGAGAGGGCGGTTCTCTCCATCCTGATCCGGCCGCTGGCTCTTGGGGACGTCAGCCTCGCCGTCTCGGCCTCCGTGGACTACAGCATCCCCGGGCAGTGCGGGGGGGGCGGCGAGGAGAGGGTCGAGAGGAGGTAAGGCAGTGGCCGTGTGGTGGTGATGGTGACGGTGCTGGTGATGGTGATGGTGGTGATGGTGCTGGTGATGGTGGTGATGATGACGGTGCTGGTGATGGTGACGGTGCTGGTGATGGTGATGGTGGTGCTGGTGACGGTGCTGGTGGTGATGGTGACGGTGCTGGTGGTGATGGTGACGGTGCTGGTGCTGGTGATGGTGGTGGTGTTGATAGTGATGGTGATGGTAACGATGGTGGTGGTGTTGATAGTGATGGTGGTGATGGTAACGATGGTGGTGGTGTTGATAGTGACGGTGGTAGTGATGGTGATGAAGATCGAGAGGAGGAAGGCAGAGCGTTGGTGTTGTTGGTGATGGTGGTGGCTGTGAGGATCAGGTGATGGCGGTGAATATGATGGTGTTGCTTATGGTAATGGTAGTGTTGCTGATGATGGCGGAGATATTGTGGTGGTGAAGTCGATAGTGTTGTGGTGGTGATAGCGTTGTTAATGGAGGTGTGGAGATGAGGTTGTTGATGGTGGTAGTGGTGGAGATAATATTGTTGATGATCGAGATGGTGGTGAAGATGATTGGGTTGGTGGTGATAGTGATGTTGTTGCTGATGATGGTGGATGTCGAGTCGAGTCGTGCGTCAATGGCGACACATTTAGCGTAGAAAAATGCACTTCATAGAACGCGGTCGGATGATGATTTTCTTCTTCCTCTTCTTCATCTCCTTCTTCTTCTTCTTCTTCTTCTTCTTCTTCTTCTTCTTCTTCTTCTTCTTCCTCTTCTTCTTCATCTTCTTCTTCTTCATCTTCTTCTCCTTCTTCTTCTTCTTCTTCTTCTTCTTCTTCTTCTTCTTCTTCTTCTTTTTCTTTTTCTTTTCTTCTTCTTCTTCTTCTTCTTCTTCTTCTTCTTCTTCTTCTTCTTCTTCTCATTCTTCTTCTTCTTCTTCTTCTTCTTCTTCTTCTTCTTCTTCATCTTCTTTTTTTTCATCTTTTTCATCAATCCTTTTATTAATAGAATTATTAACGTATTCTTTATCCTTTTCTTCTTCGAGGGATACTCTGGTCAAGACAATAACCGTGGAGGCTGAGGGATTCGCGAAGGAAGAGACGTGGACTAAATACGCCTGCGCTGAAGGTAATGATTCTCATGTTGTTTATTCAGTACGTAGGAAAAAGGAGACAGAGGGGGATGAGAGAGAGAGAGAGAGAGAGAGAGAGAGAGAGAGAGAGAGAGAGAGAGAGAGAGAGAGAGAGAGAGAGAGAGATGCACCTGTATTGAATTTCACCTTCCTCTTGGATATCATTTTCACTATTATGTATATTTGATTATGATTGATATCATGGTTGTACACAAGTTATCACACAGTTGAGTTAGGCATTTAAGTTGAATGAACAAGCAGTCGTCATATCACAATACTTGATGGGAAAATATGTGTTCTATATATGGTAAAATACTCTCCTCCTTCCCCTTTATCCCCTCTCCTCCTTCCCCCTCCCCCCTCTCCTTCTCCTCCACCCACAGAGCTGTCCGAGGGCAAGGACAGCCTGGAGGTGTGGCAGGTGGCGCCGCCGGAGAAGATCGTGGCAGACTCCGCCCGTGGGAGGATCTCGGTGGAAGGAGACCTGCTGGCGCTTCCACTCGAGGTGAGGAGCAGAAGTTAGTAGTAGTAGTTGTAGTAGTAGTTGTAGTAGTAGTCGTAGCAGTAGTTGTAGTAGTAGTCGTCGTCTTGGTAAACCATTTTTGGAAGAGGGGGTAGGAATAGTTGTTATGCGGGATTTTTTTCGGAAAAGATGGGTTGGTAGTAAGAGTCGTTTTGGGAATATATATATATTTTTTTTTTTTTTGGGGGGGAGGGGTTATTAGTAGTAAGAGTCGTTTTGGTAATGCCTCTTTTGGGGGATAGGGTGGGGTAACAATAGTTGTCGGGTAGTAATAACAGTCATAACAAGAGGGTCGGGTGGTAAGAGCAAGAGAGAACTGCTCCGTCCCCCGCAGTAAGGCAACGGGAAGCTCCCTTCGTATTATCTCCTTCTAGACCGTGATCAAAGAAGCCAAAAATGTGGACCACTGGCGGCACGAACGGAGCCGCGACCTCGATTCCCGGGATAGCTAAGGGGTGGCGGGCTTGAGGGCTGCAGAGTGAGACGGGACTGGATTCAAAGACGTGGTCGCCAAAGTTAGGCTCTGACACGGTCCTTCAAGGTGAAAATAGTAGTAGAAGTAATACTACTTGTTGATCGACTTCGCTCATGGTCGGGGCCTTGGAGCGGTTTCTCTCTGCAGTGTTTTTTTTTTCTCTCTCTCTTTTTTTAAGATTTTTTCATTCCTTCTGCGTTTCCTCTTCCTTTCTCTCCTTCTACGCTGTGTCTCCCTTTCTATCCCCCAACGTTCTCTCTCCCTCCCTTTCCCCGCCAGCTTATTAACCTTCCTCCTCCTCCTCCTCCGCAGAACCTGGGCTCCCTCACCCACGCGCCGGGCGGGGGTGGCGAGCAGAACTTGGCCAGCTTCGCCTCCAGCATCTACATCATGCAGTACCTGGAGGCGACGAAGCAGGCCACGCCCGAGAGCACAAGGAAGCTCCTGCGGTTCATGAGGATGGGTGAGTGGAAGCATGAAGTTAAAGATACCTTTTTTTCTTTCTCTCTCTTTTTATTTTTTGGGGGAGGGGGGGTTAAGATGTGGTTAAGGTGTGGAAAGAATGAGTTTGCGTTGTGAAAAGTGAATGTATCCAGATGAGATTAATAAATCTTATATAAAAACAATGACAGGAAAAAAAAACGATTTGGTTCACTTACGTTACAAAAACCTCTCTCTCTCTCTCTCTCTCTCTCTCTCTCTCTCTCTCTCTCTCTCTCTCTCTCTCTAATTCTCTCATTCCCTCCCTCCTTTCCTCTCTCCGTCTCCCTCTTCTTCTCCCCCCTCCCCTTCCTCTCCCTCCCTTTACCCCCCTCTCCCTCCCCCCCAGGATACCAGCGAGGGTTGCTGCAGCGGCGGCGGGACGGCTCCTTCAGCGCCTTCGGTCCCCGCGACGACTCGGGCTCCGCGTGGCTCACCGCCCTCGCTCTCAAGGCCTTCGCGCGCGCGAGGCAGTTCATTACCGTGAGGCTTTTGATTCGCGTCTCTTGTGTTATTTTCTTTTATCTTTTTTTGTGTTAGATGATGGCATTGTTCTTCCTTGGGTGCTGTTTGGTCGGGTTGATTATCTCTGAAACTCTCTAACTGTCTCTCCCTCTCTCTCTCTCTTCTCTCTCTCTCTCCCCATTCACAATCCTCCCCTCTGCCAGATCGACGAAGGGGCCTTGAAGGCCGCGCGGCAATGGCTCGCCAAGACCCGCCTCGCCAAGGGCGGCTGCGTGGAGAGTGCGGGCCAGGTTTTCCCCAAGGACCTACAGGTATTTTGTGTGCGTGCAATTTATATGTATATACACACAAACATGCATACACACATACGTATATCTATGTACATATATACATACGTACATACATGTATACAAATTGGTGCTCAGCGTGGTGCAGCGGTAGCGATCTCGTTTAGCATTCTTGCTGACCTGCGTTCAAATCCCGCACCGCCAGTGGACGGAACCCCGGCCATTCCTTAAACACAGGGGGGAGTTTAGAAGTACAATAAACAGACAGCCACAATTTGACTGAAGTTAGAATAGTGTGTCACAGCAAACCTTAAATTATTATTATTATTACTGTTATTATTATTATTATTATTATTACCATTACATATATTCCCATAATGCCACGACCTCTCCCCAGGGCGGCCTCTCGTCAGACAAGCCGTCCCGAGAGCCGCTGACGGCGTACGTGCTCATCGCCCTCCACGAGCCGGGCGTGGGCGCCGACAACGAGACCCTCAGCGATCTGGTCCACTGTTTGGTCTCGGCCTCCAAGCGGACCAAAAGCGACCCTTACGCCCTCGCCTTGAAGGCCTACGCTCTCGCCTTGGCCAAGGACCCCGGCGCCGAGGAGGTCCTGCGGAGGCTGACCCGGATGGCCGCCGTCGACGAGAACGCCATCTATTGGAAGGCGGGGGAGAACTGTGAGTTAAGGGGGGTTGGGAGGGAGGGAGGAGGGAGGGGGTGGGAAGAAGGAAGGGAGGAAGGAGGGAGAGAAGGAGAGAGGGAGGGATCGAGGGAGGGAAGAAGGAAGGGAGGAAGGAGGGAGAGAAGGAGGGAGGGAGGGAAGAAGGAAGGAAGGACGGAGAGAAGGAGGGAGGGAGGGATCGAGGGAGGGAAGAAGGAAGGGAGGAAGGAGGGAGAGAAGGAGGGAGGGAGGAAGGAGGGAGGGAGGAAAAAAGGAAGTAGGGGAAAAGCGAGAGTGAAGAGGGAGGGGGTAGGAGGGGGGGGGGAGCATTTCGAAATAAGAAAGTGGGAGGGATAAGAGGGAGAAGGGGAAAAGGAGGTAGAAGAAGAGGGAAGGAGATAAATAGATGGGTAGAGAAGTAAGAGCGGGAGAGAGGAGAATGTAGCGTTAGGTGCGCGCGAGAACCCAGCGGACGACCTGCGGTGGAGGTGACACCAATTATAGTTTTTCAATTACGTATATAGGCCTTCCCCTGTGGCTTACACACCTGAGCTGCCACCACCCACTTATTTGCGTGTGGGAACGCGTATATGTGCGTGTGTGTGTGAGATACGAATGCAAGGGTATGTGCAGAAAGATAGGACGTGTGTGTGTGCGCGTGTGTGTGTGGAGTACGTGTATGACAGAGTTGGTAAGCGTGTTTAAACCGAGGGGGAGGACGCGCACGCGAGCACACCTCACACTCGCGAGTCTCGACTTCGTTCAGGTGTAATTAGGAAGCTCTTGATTTACTATCCGACTTCTCTTCCACTCTCATATCTGACCTTTCCATGTTTTATGTTGAACTCTATACCTCCTAGGTACGGGAAACCAAGACAAAAAGGCGTAAGCGAAAAACTTCGTTGTTGTACCTTAATGCTTCGCCCAACAGAGGGTTATATGAGCGGCAAGTAACAGTGTTTAGACGAAATTCCTCTGCGATCGTTCACAACAAATGTTTGTATGGAATTCCTCCGTTAACAACCCAACCAGCGTCACCGTGCGCGGGGTCTTTAGTGATCGAGCGTTCACAATGGTCAAATCACTGGTTTCCCTTTTTTAGACTCTTCAAACATACCTGCTCTGATTTGTTGATAAACAAATTCTCCGGCAAGGGAACCTCGTTTAATCGAATCTTCTACGTTATTTTAACACCTGAACTTGTATTTTAAGTCCATTAACTATTTGAGGAGGTAGTGACTTTTCATTATAATTTATTATTTCCAAGTTGAAAATCGGTCATTCCTTTCATTTATCATGGTTATTACTGAGGGTCTTTATCATTAGGTTTCATTTCCTCGTTATTTATCGAGTCGTTATAGTCCCTTTTGTTTACCTTTACAGGCGTATATTCTTAGTGAAAGGTTTGTTATAATCACCTATAAAATTTCAGAGTATAATTGAATTATATCTTCAATGTTTCCAAGTCGCCGATCCTTTTAACTTCACACTGTTTCCATTGCCTTTCCTTTACCTTCACAATAATCACTTTGGTGAGGAACTCATAGAAACATTAATAAGGGTCAAAATCAAGAGAATATGTTTTTAAAAAAATCAAAAACAGTAAAATGGTAAATGGTTGAACCCTGGGGGGTTTACTTCAGCATTAAGAAATAAAAATTGAAATTAGTTTAAAAGCACAAAAACACGATAGGGAACAATATTACATAGATGAAGGACAATATAAAATAAAGAGGCACCGGGATTTCCTAATGATGGTTCTAAACTGCCAGCCTGCCCACTACGACCTGTCTACCACTGCGCGTACACGACCACTTACGCCGACCAGCTGAACCCTGTCTCTCCGGCCTCCTTGCCCCAATCACCCCCTCGAGCAGAAGACCCGACCGTCACCACCTAAGGTGGCTAGATCAACTTTGACCCCGCCCATTTCCTTGGCCGACGGTTCTCTCGCGGGTGCCCCACATTTTAAGAAGTAAAAATTTGTATATGTGCTCTGATAAAATATCCCTAGACTTAAAAACTAACCATTCTAAAATTAATAAAATATAGGAATTAAAATGGAAATACTTAGAACCAAAATGCATTAAGAAACTATAAAAATACCAAAGCAAAAATAAAAACTAAATAAACGATATATAAAAACATCAAAATGGCTACGGGATCGCATCTAGAAAGTTAATGGATAAAAAGTACTTTCAAACCGAATACCCTAAATTAAAAATAGTTCCCCAAAAGTATAATTTTCTTTAATGTGGACCCCATGCTCTAATTTGTAGCAGTAACTATCATCTCGGGCCTTTAACAAATTTCCATAATTATATATGAACATTTCGTCACGGCATGAGGTTGGTTGTAGATCCACGACCAGTTGATAGAAGATGAGAACAATCGGGGGGAGCTGCGTCTGATGACGGAGCTGGCCACGACAAGAATGCTATACATACAAAAGACACATGGATAGAAAGAGAAGAAGAAACAAACAGATACATGTTTCAGAAAATAATATTATTAATAAAAGTAAAAATACGAGAACAACTCAACACACAAACACACATACCAAATACACAACCCTCCCCCCCCCCCCCAAAAAAAAAAAAAAATGGCAGCCACCCACAACAAACACACCAACTAACCTAAAAAACGAAAACACCCCCCCCCCAAAAAAAATACCCCTTATTATCTCCCCCCCCCATAATGCTCTCTCCGACGCCTCCCCCCCCCAGCCTCGAGCCACTCGCCCCGAGCGGTGGAGACGGCGGCCTACGCGCTCCTCGCCATGTTGGTTCTGGACCCGAAGAAGTACGCCGGCGAGGCCAAGAGGGTCGTGCAGGGGGTCGTACGCGAGAGGAACGGCCGCGGAGGATTCTACTCGACGCAGGTGGGTGGGGGGGTGCGACCAGGGTGGTGGAGGAGGAGGTGGTGGAGGAGGAGGAGGTGGTGGAGGAGGAGGTGGTAGAGGAGGAGGAGGTGGTGGAGGAGGAGGTGGTGGAGGAGGAGGAGGTGGAGGGAATGGTGGTGGAGGAGGAGGTGGTGGAGGGAATGGTAATGGTGGTACTGATTGTAATGGTGAAGATGGTGGCGATGATGCTGATGGTGATGTTAAGGATCTTTTTAGCTTCTATGATTATTATCGTTATATTTATCCTTAATGGTAGTAGGTATAACAGCACCAATATTTATAAAGGTGGCAGAACTAATTCCATGACTAAATGTATTAATAAACGATATTGTTATAACTTCGGAAAAACTATTGTGATAATTGTTAATACCTTTACAAAAGCTCATTATTCTTGATAATATATCATATAAATATTAATGGTTACCAGAAGCATCTTTCATATCATAGATTATTTTCATTCTCGTGGAAGTGAACATTATATCCATAAACAGGCAAATAACCAGTCAATCTCCATCTCAAACAGGAAGGCAATTTTTTTTTAATTTCACGGAGCAGAAACCACTCCATCCTCCTATAGTCTATTAACTAATCAATCTCTCCATTAACCAGCCTATTCCCAATATACAGAATCCATCCCATTCAAAATAAATCACCCAGTCTACCCACCACAGTATGTCAGTCATGTACTTCTCCTCCTCCAGGACACAGCCGCCGCTCTGCAGGCCCTGTCCTTGTACGAGACGGTATTCTACAAAGGATCCCCTCACGTCATAGCCACCGTCGCCGCGCAGGACTTCTCTCGCGCCTTCGAAGTCACTGAAGGCAATAAGCTTCTGCAGCAGTTCGAGGCTCTCCCGGTCTTGCCAACTGGTGTGAGCTTCGCCGTGGAAGGCCGCGGGTGTGTGGTTATCCAGGTGAGATGCTTGCTTGTTCAGTTGTCTGGTTGTTCGTTTGTTTCGTAGATGGGTTTTATGTGTGCCTAATGATGGCATCGGTTTGTACAAAAACGACAAAAGATATGTAAGAGTTTTGCAGTTCTCTTTCATTACGATAAAATAGTATTAGCTAATTTAATACCTCCCTTCCAATTTGAAGAAAAAAATTATCCTTTTCCTCTTCTCTCTATACCTCTTTCCCTTTTTTCTTCTCTCGTTGTCTCTCCTTCTTTCTCAATTTCCCTTTTCCTTTTCACGTATCTCTTCTTTTCTCTTCTTTCCCCTTTCCCCCCCGTCTCCCCTCCCACTCCTCTTTATTTCTCCTGCCCTTTTCTCTCCCGTTCCCTCCGCCGCCTCTTCTTCCCTTTCTCCCCTTTTTCCCTCCTTATTTCATTTTCTCTTTTCTCTTTCTCTCTTTTTTCCCATTTACATCTTTCTTTCCTCCATCTGCTATCTTCATTTTTCTCATTATCCTCCTCTTTTGCTTCATTTCTCCCCATTTCTCATCCCTCATCTTCCCTCGTGCCCTAACTTCCTCTCTCTCCTCTCTCTCCTCTCTCCCTTTCCTTCCTTTCTCCTTTTTTCCATCCCTTTCTCCCGTCCACCAGACCGTTCTCCGCTACAGCATCCCCGAAGCCGAAGCCAGCGCCGCCTTCAGCCTCCGCATCGACGCAGCGAACGACGAAAGCGCCCGGAAGTGCGCGCTGAAACACCTGGAGGTCTGCGCGACGTACCTCCTGCCCGACGGCGCCTCCAGCACGGCCGTCATCGCGATCAGCCTCGTCTCCGGCTTCGTCCCGCCGCGAGAGGGCCTGGAGGCGGTCGTGCGGGAGAACAGCGAAGTCGTCAAACGCTACGAGTTCGAGGGCAACAGGGTGGCCTTCTACGTGGACAAGTTCGTCACGGGGAAGGAGCTCTGTGTGGGTTTCGACGTCGTCCGCGAGGTGCAGGTCGGGGACTCCAAGCCGGGGACGGCGCTCGTGTATGATTTTTATGAGCCTGCGGTCGCCGTTAGCAAGGTACGCTGTTTATATATATGTATGTATATATATATATATATATATATATATATATATATATATATATATATATATATATATATATATATATATATATATAATATTTAATATATATATATATAATATTTGATATATAAATATAATATATATATATATATATATATATATATATATATATATATATATATATATATATATACATATATATATATATATAATATATATAATATATATATAATATATATATATATATATATATATATATATATATATATATATATATATATATATAATATATAATATATATATATATATATATATATATATATATATATATATATATATATATACATACATATATACAAATATAAAAGAACCAAAATTCAGATTAATATTAGGGAAATGTCATTCCCGTATGATGACATGATAATGATGATGATTGGTAGAAGAATAGTGATGATTATATCATCAGTACTGATGGTTAATGTAGTTATAATTACGGTACCAATAATAGCAATCCCAATCATACTAACTTCAAACATAAATTAGCTTTAATTGTTTTCCAGAACTTCGAATTCCTGCCGGCGGAGGGATGCTGATGACAAGATGGAGCTCAGTGTCACAAGACAAACGCATAAGCCTGTTGTAAGATCATAAAAAAGACACTTCACAACAAAAAAAGAAACATATATTTCCATTAGAAAATAATAGTACACGCCAGGCTATATATCAAATTATTTAAATTTGTATATATATATATATCTATAAATTCACTGTGGTTGGCCCTGACTGAAGCTGAGCTTTTACATAATGAAAACAAAATAGATAGAAAAAGTTTATTTTTGTATGTGTGATAATTGGAAAATTAAATCGGAAAGCATTTGTATCTTACCAATAAAGCTCAAAATATATTTATAATAAACGAATGTTCTTTCCTAATCAAGTCATTCGATCTTCTTTTAAAGAAGACGAAGCAGTGACGAATCACACGAAGAAACATTAACTATTAATATGCATTTTAAGACGACAATGTGGCCCGGACCCAAAACTTGTCCAGTAACTGTAATCTGCTACAATAATACTCATGTCATAAACTAGCATTGGTTAACAAATTGGTCAGTATATTAATGTTAGTGGAATTCAGCGTACATATGCTTCTCTCGATACCTGTCCAAATGTTTAATGCAGTCAAGTAGTAGCAACATTTTCGGAATAGGGAATAGCCGCCCAGTTGCTTCCGTGCACGTTTGCCACGTTGAATGGTCTGCGACCTCGTGAGGGTGAATGCACCTCCGACTCTCTGCGCCGCCGAGCACCAAGGGCCGAGTGGGAGTTGGTCGAGAGAAAGGCTTGCTCAAGAATTGCGTCAAGAGAGCCACCGCCCCCTTGAATGCCCACGCGCCTCATCAAAGAGTTCACAATGGAGCTTGCCACTCATCTTACCTCCATAATAAGGGAGGGAGGGTTAATGTAGGTGGAGCTGGGGGATGGACTGTGTTGGGTGGGAGTAGGAGCAAGGGGTATACAGAAGGAATATGACTAGGAGGAGGATGGATATCGGCAGTCACTTTGAGTGGAGGTAGCGGGAGTTTTGTGAGACAAAGGTTTTCTTGTGAGGGGGGGGTGGGGAAGGGAAGACTGGTGTCTGAAGCGTAGGGGCAAAGGAAGGTGGAGGTGATTGTGTGGTAAGGGAAGAGGGGGTGGAACGTTTAGTCTGCTACAGGTAGTGCGGGGAGGGAGAGGGGAAGGTGTTGGGACTGCAGTAGAGACTGGCGTGTCTGGATTTAGGATGACAAAAGAATTTGACTGGGGAAGGTAGGAGGTAGAAGTGGGGAAGTAAGATCTAGGAGGGATAGGTATAGGGGAAGGGGTAGGGACGTCTTCGGATGGAGGTGGAGGGGCAGAGCGAGCGACATTACTGGAGCAGGGAGTATGAGAAAAAACTCGTCGACGTGCTTCCTGTCTGGCTTCACGTAGAGTGAGTCTAAGTCTGAATCTGAGGGTTGCCACCTCAGACCCAAATTTGTATGTGTGGCAGCCCTATTAAATTGATTATGGGGCCTCCACAGTTGGCACGTGTGCGTGACTATGCAGAGCAGTTTGATCGAGTATGACCAGGGTGGGCACATAGAGGGCATCTGGCTGTGGAACGGCAATGTTTGGCGGGATGTCCTAAACGCCAACCATTTTGGCACTGACGGAGAGGAGGTTGATATGGTCGGATAGGGAGGGATTTCCGCCAATGTGAACATTAAAGGGAAGGTCATGTCTACGGAAAGTAATTTTGACAATGCTAGTGGGGTTCTTACGATGACCTCTGGAGGAATGGAGTAGCACTGTAATGATATCGCATCATAGTCCGTGAGGTAGGCGAGTAAGTCTTCTCCATAATCTGACCAATTTTTGTTATAGATAGGGCAGTTTGCTGGGGAGATAGCGACAGTTCCAGTGCAAATATTGAGGGTTGGATAAGGATATGTAGGAATGGGGTTACCAGAGAGATTAGTTAAGAGTTGATAATGCTATAGCTTGGTTTTCAGATGTTGCTGTGACAAGACGGGATCGATCGGGTCGGCTACGGAGAGACTTTGCTTACTTGTTTTTGGAGACATTGCTGGAAGAGAAGATCGTTGTCAGGGTAGGGAGCTGTGAGAGGGATCACGAAAAATCGATCCCATTTGGCTGGGCTAAATAGAGTATTTTTAAGGTATTTGTAAATATGGGGTGGTAGAAGGATGGAGGCGTGTGGAAGAGGGAGTAGTGTTGAGGGAGGTAGTATTATGGATAGGTGGACAACCAGGCTGTAAAGTAATACTAGGGGAGAATGGGGTGATTGATAAAGGTTGTGGGGTAGAGGTGATGAAGCTGAAAATGTTGAGAAGGTAGGAATGTCTCCTGGAGATTGATTGTTAACTTGGGTGGATAACGTAGTAGTAGGCATTGAGGAGGGAATAGTTGTTGCAGTCTTTGGAGCCGTGGTCAGAGGATTGATTGATTATTTAAAATCGTGTCAACAGCTAAGGTCATTGGCGGCGGTGGTCAAAGGAGAGCCTGGGGTCGAGGGATCGGGAGTTTGAATTGGTGGAGCTATTTGATGAAGGGGCAAGCCTCATTGCCCCTAAAAGGGTATAACATTTTCATTGTTGGTCATGGAAAGTCTGGATTATGTTGGGGAGAGAAACAGGTACGGGCTAGGCAACTAAAACAGGGGAATACCCAGTCACAAAGTCAGCCTTTCATCCTTTCTGCGCGGCTCGCACACCTTAGGAAGTGGAGAGCAGAAGGGGTTGGGAGGGGGGGCGGGAACGAAAAAGGAGGAAAAAAAGACCCATACAAAATTGGTAGGGGGGGGGGGTTAGATAACTGGATAAATCCCATAGATTTTATGTTCATATCTTTGCTTGGGGATCTGTGGTTAAGTTTGCTTTCTTACTTTTGTATTTTTGTACTTTTGCTGACAATAAAAGGTGTAGTATTTATAGGACTTTACTGTTTTCCTAATGCAAGGGCCCCGCTTTATCTTCTGTTTCTTGCTACTTTTACAAGATGATTATTTTTCATACAAGTCAGAAAGGAGTTGTACATGATGTACACAAAGCAAAGTTATACAAAGTACAGATAAATTCTCCCCTCCTTTAGAGGTACATTTTATTAGTTATGTCACAAATGTGTGCCTAGCTTTCATTCATTTCTTTTTTTCACATGAAAACAACCATTTTTTTGTCTATTAGAGGGAAAAATCTGTAGTAGTAAGGTTTTATCAGGGGTGTTACAGGCCCTATTACATTACAACAATTGTCATAGTTCTCACTGGTTTTATGTACTATTTTCATTTTCACTTCATCAATAAAAGGCCGACTTTATAACTGAATGTCTCTTTCTTCAAAGGAGACATAAATTACCTTAATTTCAAGGCAACAAAGATTGAATTTCTTTATAATCTACTGTGGTAACAGTTTTTCCCCTTCAAATTCTCACAACTGAAATATTGCCTTGTTAATTTCAAGAAAGGAAAATCAAATTCACTTTTAGTAATAGTACATCATATTTGCCTTTAACAGGGTATAACCTACAAGGTTCCTGCAGATCTATCTGTTCAGTCTCTGCTTCCTCCAAAAGATTTTTATCATAATTCTCTTTATTTATAATCAATTTGATAAAGTTTCCTTAATTATTTTTTGCCAAATTACATACTGACAAACTTGTACTTTAGTTTACTATTTGTAGATAGATGCTGTATCTCTTTGATCCTGGTTAATCTTTAGTACAATGTATTTTTGTCATTTGTGTAACTACAGCCTTGGGCTCCATCCAGACAAACAGGAGTGCCTGTTGGGCAAACACTGTAACCTCATCAAACCAACATTTAGAGTGTGATTGGTAGGCAAGAGTGCAGTCTGCTGCCCAACATTTACTGGACATCCACTAGGGTCACTACACCACAGCTCTGTCTGCCATATGCTCTATACTCCCGTGTAGACAACACAGGTGTGCCCGGTGGTAGCTGATGGCCGCTGACTGGTTGACCTGGTAACATTGCTAAACAAGCGTGAAATATCCACTCACCAGCCATTTCCCAATGGGCACTGCCCATTCATCTTTATGGGGCCTTAAGATCTAGTACAATGGATGAAAAAGGATCTATTTTCCTGACAATTACTATTTTTTCACATATTTTTGAATTAAAACAATAAATACACAAATAAGTATAACCTAAATTTCTGAAGGGCAAAATCAAATATCCTCAACCAGCCCAAAACATTTTGCCTTTTGAAGGAAGTGGAGCTGAAATTTCCTGCCCTCTCATATCCTACTTAAATAACCAATGCCTTCCCCCCGAGAAAAGAAAATCAATAACAGTAAAACAGAACATCATACACAAAGCTTGCATGTGTCTATGGCTCCTGCTGTTAGTAGTTTTGTCTTTTGTGTTTGGTATTCAAGGTCTGTTGTATTTTACAGTTCTCTCGTCTTCTTTACCATTATCATCACCTCACCTATATGTATATATATATATATATTTCTTAATTAAGGATGTTCTCCTAGAAGACCTGCCTAAAAATATTATATACAATCTTATAAAAACTAATTATTTAAATTTCCTGGGTGTTACCAAGTGTGTACTCACAACGGTTGTTTTAACATGTGATTTTACATGATGAATCTAGACTACTATGCAATGAAGTAATTACAACATTATATACAATGTACAGAGCAGAGTACAGTATGGCACCCTTTCTTACTTCTGTATTATTCTGAGAAAACTATGCAAATGTGAAATCTTAAAATACTGATCCAGAAGAGAAGGCCAGAAAAGGAGATAGATATATATGATTGTGTGTGTCAGTGTATGCATATAAATATATATAACCATACATGCAAGTTATGGTTTGTTAGAATTCTCTGAAAGAAATTCTGCTTACAAAAACAAAAAATCTAAAAATCTTAGAAACTGTAAATCCAACTTTTTCTCTCTCAATAATTACTGACATGATTTCAAAAGAAGTACCATGCACTTTCTGATCTGCATCTTAAACTGTGGAAAGAAAATTCCCCCTTTTGCTTTGTACTTCTTGGAACAGGACCCCCCTACCCCTCAAAAAGAAAAAAAAAAATCTTGTGAAGTCACACTTCCATGAATTAATATTTTAATATAATAGTTCTACTTGACATAAAAAAAAATATGCCATACAACAATGTTCTAGTTTCAGTGCAGAACTATTTCCACAAACAGAATTCCCTCCCCATCTCATTCTCCGACACATTCGCTCTAATCGCCATATTCGTAGTCAGTGTGCCTTAGGGAAGATTGCACTTAAGCCCAAATACTGGAATGACAAGGTCACATACGAAAGTCTCTTTTCCTGTAAAAGAGGGACAAAAAGGATGAATATCTTCACAGTGCAAAAGACATTCACTCTTATTCATACTTTTTCTGCATGTCACGATGAGCAATGTTCATGATCTGATTGAAGTCACTCTCAAGAGCTTAAATCTACAAAGAAGTTCTGTGTTCCTAACATAAACAAATACATTCAACTATTCAAAAATTCCGCAAGGACTGTAGACTCCTTTATCTCCAGCTCATGTGTATTGCCTGGGTATTTTTGCATTCCTTAATGAAGAAAGTTTAAAATGGAAAATACCACATCATATAAAGTTGATTATGATTTCTTAATTGCAAAGGCTGGATAGATAGTAATATTTCAGCATGATAATAATAATGTAGTTCAAACATAGTAACCACAAGAAAAATGTAGCCATAAAAGGATTTTAACTAAAACATGCTTTGGGGGTTCATTAGTGACTGCGATTAATAGATTAAATACTTGTAGTTGTTGAAACTTGAAAAAAAATCATCCATTAGGAATTCCAGGGAGAGCTCTCGGGCAGTATACCTTCCCAAATCTATTTTCAAATAAACGAACTCTGTCAACAAATAATAGACAGTGAAAGGTGGGTGTGCATTTTAGGATTCCAAAGCCGTAATCGAGAAACGTGCGAGACAGGTACAAAAAGACTAAGAATATGGCTATGAAGGTCTTTTCAAATATCATTTCTTTTCTCGTTTTTAGTTATCGTTTGAAGGCCCTCCAAAAACTATTTCTGCAAGTGTAAAAATAATATATATACTAAAAAAAAAGAAAATAGTTTCTTCCTTTTTCCCTTTTTCACGACAAAGATTCCAGGAAAGACCAGCTCCCAACATAATCATTAACAAAAAACAACTCCAATAAAGAGGGAAAACCTAACATTCAGAGATCCATTGTTGTTCACAAGGCAGGGAGAGGGTGAAGTGGAGAAAGAGAGATGGAATTATAACAATACCCAATACCTTTCCAAAAGAAAAAAAGCAAAGAAAACAGTGGTGGAAATAACAGCATGATCGACAATCTTATTAATCATAAGAAAATTATACCAAAAGATGAGAAAACGAGTGGAAAATGTAAAAAAAACATGAAAAACAAAACTAAAAAAAAAAAAACTATCATTAATATATAATAACCAAAATATAAACAAAAATATATGCGATGATACTGATGATTATAATGACAATTGCAATGTTGCTGATTAATGATGATGAGTGACTCCTAGTGACTGATCTTCATATTCATCATAATCATAATAATCAACAAAAAATATATCATACAAGATGATGACGATGATGAATAATGATTATGACTGATGATGATAATGATGATGATGATGAAGATAATAATAATAATAATAAAAAATAAATAAATAGATAATAAAAATAACACAGAAAAGGCAAAATTCTTACTTACATTTTAGTAAAGGATTGCAGCAGAAGAAATAAAGAAAAACATTCACTTTGTACCTCTTTAAAGAAGATTTCAGCTTGAACTGACAAAAATCCACAATAATATTTTTTCTTTTCTTTACTCTTTCATTATATATACACAGCAAGTTTTGTCTGTAAAAAGAGACATTTAACCCTAATGATTTTGTCTTCCTGAATTTTCAAAGTCAAGCATCTGTTCTAAAAGCAAAAAAGTCTTTTAAGAAGTAGCTAAATCCTTTTTTTGAAGAAAGAAAAAAATCTGAAAGAATGATCATACAAGACAAAACCAATTCGCCTTTTATACTAAAACAAGTGCTATCAAACTACAAGTAGAACATTCACAGATATATAAAAGATAAAAAAGAAGAAAAAATCACTTTCTCCATTACAAAATAGGAAGGGCCTAAACTGCAATGACTTAAAAAAAAAAAAAAAAAAAAAAAAGTCCCCTCTTACTTTACAAATTTTCCTAAAAATTAACAATAGATTATCTACAATAACCATTTCCTTTTTTTTACTCCTTTATATCAGGGCTGTCAGATCATCTAATACAAAGCAGGCCATTCCTCCCTGCAGTGGTGCATGCCTCACTCTTTGCAACAACACCAGCAGTTGATTGCAAGAGGTTATCAACAACAGCTCCTTGCTTTCCTTCTTTACAACATAAAGGTTTGTCCACACTAAGGCCCAACTCAATGAACATCTCAGGCTTTTCACGTATATATAATTTTCGTATCACAATTTACAAATATCTCATTTTTTTATTACTTTTTTTTTTATATGTATATAAATTATCTATCCACAAAGGAGCCGCCAGAGTGCTTGCAGGCGCGAGTCCACTGGCTGTGCCTTGCGGTTTGCCTGAGTTATGGGGGCAGCTCAGCCAGGAGGCCCTGCTGCTGCAGCTGCGACCGCACCAGCGCGTTCTCGTTCTTCAAAGCTGCGTTCTCATTCTTGAGCACCTCCACCTCCTGCTTGAGCAACTCGAAGTCCATGTCTCGCCGCTGCACCTCCTTCAGCCGCTCCATCAGCTGCTCATTCTGCAGTCTCAGCTCAGATATGTAGTCACACGCCTTGGCCAGGATGCCCCCTTTGCTCTGCGGAGAAGGAACCAGCTCAAGGTATCTTTGGGGCACTTCATCTTTTCATATTTATGCAAAGCTGCATTATGCTAAATACATGAATTAAAAGGAAATGTATGATCTGCTGTGAATCTTGAAATACATCCTCTTGTATAATCATATCCCATTTAATCAACATTAATGCATGGGTCCTGCTGTCTTGCTTTATCTGTAATTCATATACATCTTATCCTTGAAGTGTCCATTTTTTTCAGATAAGCAAAAAACATAATTGCAAAACCATTTACAGGAACTCAAACCTATCTCCAGTTCATAAATAATAGGAAAAAAATCTAAGCTATTATTTTTCTTCTATAGTTGACAAAATGAGAGGCAATAGGAAGATTAACTGCTGAGGATTCAATTGTACAACATACAAATATATATCAACCTTGAAAACAGCCAGAAATAAGTATTCAGGTGAATCTAATGTACTTTTCAAAAATTATCAAGGCTTATCAAGTCTCACTTCCAAAAACAGCTCGACAGCTTGCTAAATCCACACCCCTTAAATTTTGGTTTCCTGTCTGACCCTACAGTAAATTATTCAGTTAATTCAGAGGATTCAGAAATTTCTCCATTAGTTGCATCATATCTGAGTAATTTGTAACATGTATAATGCTTTGTCTAAGAAGATTTAGAACAAAACTTACTCTAATGTCTTGACTGGAATTATAAGACAGCTTGGAGTTTCTCCAAACAGTATCATATATAAAGTTGCCACAATTGGACCACTCACATCCAAAGGGCACACATGATAACAAGTCAGATAATGTCTTGGAAATCCTGCTGAAGTCAGGTGATTTGTATTTTGGTGATGTCTGGCAACTCAGGGAGAGTCCAAGTTACTCTCATGAGCCAGACACCCACAATGTTCCTAAATAGTTGACGTTTTGCCTTTTTTCCATACAAGATTGTTGCAAGACTACAAAACCTTACCCATACATCCACTATGGCTCAAAAGCCTCTCCTAAACAAGGAAAAGGGTTCTATTCAAGCCCTAAAGGAAGAAAAATTCACCACCAATGAAATAAGCAGGTCATTAGGAGATGCAAGGGACCGTAGAACGGCTACTTTCTGCCGATGCTTCCTCCCACCAAATGAAGTTTCAGCCCCCAAAAAAACATCCCATGATACATTTCCTTCAGTTGCTGGACTGTCAAACATGTTTTTTCTGTGTTCTTTGAAGTCTTTTCTTGGTTCCAGGGCACATTTTATGCACTGGGACTTCATTTGGCAGGAGGTGGCATGCAGCGGAAAGAAGACTTTTTACAGTCATCTTACCACTTACTGATCGCCTGCATATTTCATTTACCTTTTCTCTCTTTAGGGCCTTGCAATCACAAGAGGCAAAAAACACTTCACTTCAGTTGCGGTAACTGTATATATTTGCAGAGATTGTAACCCCTAGCCTCAAAAAAATTCCCTTGAACTTAACAAGCCTCCCTACTTACTCTGGTTAACCCATAAAACTTAAATAAACAATCCAGGCATTAGGCTTACTTGAGCAGCCACTCTCATAGGTGTGTAGCTTGTAGGCCAGTGAACACGACACTCACATGCAGTCAAGACTCTATACCTCTCTTTTGCAGTATAATTACCTCTTTTTCTGCAGTAGTGTTTTATGCTTTTTAGCTATTTTCCAATATCTATATTTGTCATTTGATATGCTGTATCCTGACAGTCATAAACTGTTTTCCTTGCACTAACTCCATATCATTTCTCTTGGTATCTATAACTCAGTGCAATAATAATAACTACAAATAATATTTTGTTAAGTCATATTATTTTTTTTTTTAATATTAAATTTTCTGTAATGCAAACTACACCACCAGTTTTGACGGGCAGGAATAGGATTCTGAGCATGGAAATAGTATTCTCTGACTATGGTTCACAGATGGTACAATCCACTCTCATTTACTGATAGGGATAATGCAATAGCTACTTCCTAAATGCCCACTGATTCTAATCACATTTCAAGAGTCATTCCTGTCACTCTGGCCTTCAGTCAAAACTCTCATAATGGTATGTTTCTGTTACCCAGGCCAGCAACCAAATTTTTCTGTGATGGCAAATTCATTTTATCCATCACTCAGCCCATTTTTTTCATGTTTTCTTCTTGTGCCATTCTTCTGCAAAACCACATTTCTGCAGCTTTGAGTCTCTTCTCCATGATTTTGCTTTTTGTCCAAGACTCACATCTGTACGTTAGCACCAATCACATGTAGCACTTCAAGTGACTTTTCTTGACTTCCATTCCAATTCTCTTTGCACAAAAAAGGCCCCTCATGTCCATAAAAGTTTTCTTTGCTGGTCCAGTTCCACTTGATGTCTTATTTGACCGTCCATCTGGTGTTTTCCAACTTCCCAGGTATTTGAAACTGGCCTTCTGCTCTATCCCATTTCCATTCACCACCAAGCAACATGCAGGTATCTGTGCTTTCTTAGTACAAACCAGTGAGGAGGTTTTCAGGCAGTTAATTGTCAATCCAAGCTTTCCACTCTCCTAAGTCATGATGTAATCAATCCTTGAAGCTTCTCCTCTGTATCCGCAATCAAAGCCTTTTGGTCTGCGTGCCACAGATTGTTATAATTCCTTTCACTCAGCTGATAGGTTTCCTCTGATGATACCTTTCACTCGATTCAACTCTTAAAATAATCTTTGTCACATGACTCATCAGGCTTATCGTTTGATGATTTTTGCACTTCCAGACTCCTTAGGCAAGGCAATGAAGACTGATTCTAGCATTTCTTCTGGAACTTTCTCTGAGTTGTAAACATGATTCGCTATCTCTGTCAATTTTCCTACTCCCAAACTCCCTGAAGAATCTACTCATTCAAATGCAATACTGTCAGTTCCAGTCGCCTTTCCACTTTTCATCTTGCTCATAGCCTGCTTGATTTCAACTGCTGTAATTATATGGCTTGCTTATCTTTGTTTTTTCTTTCCTTCCATCATCAGCATAGAGACCTTTGATGTAATTGGTCCACCTTCTCTTGACCGACTCCTCATCCATCAGAACTAAGCCATCTTCGTCTTTAATGCAGCTTGTCAGACGTTTCTTCCTCCTAAGTGAAGCCTGTCTAACTTTTTCATGCATCATCTGTGCATCTCTCTTCTCCTTCTCTTCAATCTCTTCACAACACTCCTCCAGATATTCTTCCATTGCTTTTTTGCACTTCTTTCGAATCTCCTTGTTCAAATGTTTGCCCTTCTCCTGGCCATTCTTTGCCAGTCTTTTCTCGTCTATTTTATGAAGTATCTCCTGAGTCATCCACTTATCTTTTAAAATCTTTTTAGTTTCCAGAAGCCATTGCTCTGCTGCCTTCATCAGTGCATTCTGCAGGAATTTCCTTTCATCTTTCTGCTCCGACTGAGGTCTGATTTTAGCAGCTGAAACGTAGTCGAGGGGCAGTCTTCCTCCGATAGATTCTATATAACTTCATTCTGATCAGTGTCACAATCAGCTCCTGGATACGTTCTGACCCTTGGCACTGCATTTTGTAAGCTTTCGTTGATCAAGATGAAATCAATCTGATTCAAGCGACCATCTCTAGGACTTTTCCAGGTGTACAGCTTCCTCGGATGATGTTTGAAAAACGTGTTTGTTATGAACAATCCATTTTCCTTGCCTCACTCAACTAGCCTATCACCTCGATCATTCCTCTGTCCCAGACCAAAAGTACATTGTAAAATACTAATTATCTTTTTGAGTTCATAATATTTGCCATAAAATCACAACACTAAGATCTCTCAGTGCCTCTCCACTACTCATATTGGTGCCTTGCCAATGAAATTGTAGACAACCCCCATGCAGTGCCCTAAAACCCTATTAACCAATGACTCCTGTCAATCTCCAACTCCACACCTAGTGGGTAAATTCATTTTATCCATCACTCAGCCAATTTTTTTCATGTTTTCTTCTTGTGCCATTCTTCTGCAAAACCACACTTAAACTTTGCCACACCACTTGTTTCTTTGATCTGTGCTCAGATATTTTTTAATTAAACATATATTAGTATATTTCTTATTACCAGCAGAGATAATATGGAGTGTGCTAAAGGAAAACAGCCTCATACCATTGTGATACAACATAAAACAAACAACAAATACACACCCTGGAAAATGGTAAAACAGCAAAAAATGCTCATGTAGAAAAAGAGATAATAACATAGTAAAGGGGAGGCAAGGAACCTTGATACTGCACCTGGGTGTTCATAAGGGTCAAGCCTACAAACCACACACCTGGGAGACTAAGCACACAAGAAAGCCCACTGCCTGAATTTGGTCCCCTTGCGGCCACAAGGCACCCAGATCTAACAGGTAAAAAACAACCCCCAATCACCGCTCCCTTTACCTGTGCACTCTTGGGGTGTGCATCGGGGCAGTCGGGGATGATCTTGGCCAGGCGGCAGATCCAGTTGTTGATCTTGTCCCGTCTTCTGCGCTCCACTTCATTGTGTGTGACTCTCCGCTTCTCCTCCCTGGTGGTCCCTGTCAGGCGCTGGCTCATCATGCTCTCACTTGTTCTCGGCGTGAGGCTGCGAGGGGCGGTGTTGGTGAGAACATCGCTGATGACGTAAAATTGCCCTGCAAAAGGTAGGGTTGGTGATGGGTGAGGACGGAATGAGAGAGAGTGAGAAGAAAAATGGTCAAACATAACATTTTGATGCATGTCCTGTGTACTGCTATTTTAGTTCAATGATCTTCTTTATAAATAGATGGCTCTATGAGTGTACTCACACCTTGTTTAAAGGGACAAAAGGGAGGAATATTAATTCCATCCAAAACACTGTCAGTAGTGGCTAATATTAACAATTACATTATGAAAGGAAGAGCAATAATATACTACTGTACTTTTTTCCAAGTAAACCATCTAACCCACCACTAAAATACCTGTACATCTGAAACTGTTTTCTTTATTCTATCTTTATTCTTCACCTGCTCACACCTGCTTCACAGATGCAGATCTTCTAACTTTCTGATCAATTCAAGCTCTTGTGCTTCTGCTAAATTCGCCCTTCAGCTGTCCTACTCTTCTACCAGAAAACATGCTCATGGGAAATGATCAATACTGTACCACTTCAACCCACTGACACACCACACAAAGAAACTGTGTCAGCGGCTGCCACAATGCTAGCGCAATATGAATAACTTACAGACTGAGTAGCATGCATCAGATTTTGTCCATAAAACCAAGGAATGAGTCTGTTTAGTCCCCAAGGAGGCAACTAGTAGGCCTACCTAATCTCAATTGATTACTCCAGTCCTTCAATTTTCAGGAAAAAAAATTCTGTTTACTACTATCCTTCTCATTAGTAATATCAAAATGATAATGAAGATCATGATAATGGCACTGACAGAATTAGAAATAACGTGAAAATTCAGGTGGGCCTAGTAATTGCCTCTCTACTGACAAAGTGCTCATGAAGCTTTCTACATGTTAAAAAAAAGAAACAATTGCAAGAACCCAACATAAATTAACTAATTCCTCCTCAAAAATAAAGGCCAGTGAAATAGTCAACGGCGTCAACCTGTAGTCCTTGGTTACAGAGTGCAACAATTTTCAGTTTTTGGAACAGGAATACTTTTTATGGAATTCCTATCTTGTTTTTATTTAATTTCATGTTGATGCTTCCTGCAAATTAATGTTTCTTATTAGTTTTGTATTTGTTTCTGGATTTATATGAATAATAAATAGAGAATAAAGTTCGCTTAACAATGTGTCCACTAAACGTTATTTATCGTTTCACTCGTCGTTAACGTTTAGTGGACACATTGTTAAGCGAACTTTATTCTCTATTTATTATTCATATAAATCCAGAAACAAATACAAAACTAATAAGAAACATTAATTTGCAGGAAGCATCAACATGAAAATAAATAAAAACAGGATAGGAATTCCATAAAAAGTATTCCTGTACCAAAAACTGAAAATTGTTGCACCCTGTAACCAAGGACTACAGGTTGACGCCGTTGAACCAGCTCACTCACACATGAACTTAACCCATTCCCGCCGGGGAAAATTAATAAAAAATGGGGGAAATGCTGTGCTCATTTTTTATATTTTTTGTGAAATGTCTATTCACATAGATGGCTCTGCTTTACCTGATTTCACCTTTCCTTGAACTGGCAGGAAAATATATTTTTTACTAGTGCTATGAATATCGATGGTGTTATATTTATTATAGACATTATAATCACTATAATATTATAAAAATTAATAATAGCAAAATAAGATGACGTAAAATATTTCCGAAAATTAAAGAAAAGGGTGAACAGGCGAGACAGGCAGTACTCGTAATTGGCTCATTGGTGACTTTGAGCAAGTGTAGCCATCTATGTGGAAAAACAATCAAATAAGTAATCTCACAGTGGGCATGGCATGGCATCCCTGTTGGCAATGGGTTAAATGTTAATCTACTGGATAATTACTACATATGGGTGATGAGACTTCCATGTTATGAAAAAAAAATTGATGAGGGCTAGGAAACAAGAATGTGCCATAATGAAGAAAATTGGTGAAGGCCAGACTGACAGGAATGATTTGTCTAAAGAACATAAAAAACCTTAGAGGGAGATTAGTATCAGTAGGTATTTACAAAGGGGTTCTTGCCTTCTTTCTACAGGTAAGCAAGGGTGGTACTATTCATGAGCCTTGCCTAGAAGAGCTTCCAGGAAGACATAATTTCAATGCTAAGGATCTTTTCCTGCCCATCATGACAGGTGGCACAAAGTGTGTTACGGAAAATTAAATATGAAAAAATAAAAATTGAAGCAAGAAATAATACAGTCTGCTCCATGGAAACAGTCTATTACCATACTGATACTTATCAAATAACAAATACAGACATGGAAAATAGCTAAAAAACAAAATATCTTAAACAGAAAAGAATATAAAATTGCACAGTAGAGGCAAGGAGCTTTGATACCACACACAAGTGTACATGTGGGCCAGGCCTGCAAGCCAACAGCTGGGAGAGTCACCACTCAAGAAAGCTTAATCCAAATTTTGGAACATGTGCAGGCCATGAGGCACCCAGATACAACAGATTAATGCTAACTCATTAATGAATAAATGCTGCTGCAAAAGCAGAACAGATGATTACATGTGTTTACACTAGATCAGATGAATATAATAAAAAAGAGGAAAAGTGAGAAACACATTAGTGATACTAGGTGACAACCTCCCTGCAAACTTGTGCGGTGTGTGCAATAATTATACATTTTTAGTAAATTCAACATTTTCATTTCTCTTTCATATGAACTTTTCTTGAATGAGGATGTAGTATTATTCTTATTAGCATTATCTTAAGAATATATTGTGTTTTAGCTATTCATGAAATTGTTATTTAATTTTCCTTATCCATATTTTCAGCTAATACTAGGGATCCCTTGTATATAAACTTCTAATACGGAAACGAGAATTTAAATAATAAAACATTAATAACATGTACTACAAAGTTCACATTAAATTCAGCAGCTGTTTTGTTTTATAATCCCAGTCTCACATTGCACACTATTACAAACTTTTTTGTTTCAGACTAAAAAGAAAAAATAATCAAAAATTAATCAGAGGAAAAAAATATTTCTGGTAGAATGCTGACTTTACGATGGAGTTAGTCCTTCTCTTGGCCTTCAAGATTAAGTATATGTATTATATTAACCCATTACTGCCGGGGATGGCATGTACGTACATGCCATGCCCACTGTGAGTCGACTTGTTCAATTGTTTATACACATACATGGCTACACTTGTACTAAGTATCCAATGAGCCAATTACGAGTACTGCCTGTCTCGCCCGTTCACCCTTTTCATCGATTTACGAAAATATTTAACGTTATCCTAATTTGCTGTTAAAAAATAACACCATCTATATTTATAGCACTAGTAAAAATATGTTTTTTCCCGCCAATTCAAGGAAAGGAGGAGGAGGAGGAGGAGGAGGAGGAGGAGGAGGAGGAGGAGGAGGAGGAGAGGAGGAGGAGGAGGAGAGGAGGAGGAGGAGGAGGAGGAGGAGGAGGAGAGGAGGAGGAGGAGGAGGAGGAGGAGGAGGAGAGGAGGAGGAGGAGAGGAGGAGGAGGAGAGGAGGAGGAGGAGGAGAGGAGGAGGAGGAGAGGAGGAGGAGGAGGAGAGGAGGAGGAGGAGGAGGAGGAGGAGGAGGAGGAGGAGGAGGAGAGGAGGAGGAGGAGAGGAGGAGGAGGAGAGGAGGAGGAGGAGGAGAGGAGGAGGAGGAGGAGAGGAGGAGGAGGAGAGGAGGAGGAGGAGGAGAGGAGGAGGAGGAGGAGGAGGAGGAGGAGGAGGAGGAGGAGGAGGAGGAGGAGGAGGAGGAGGAGGAGGAGGAGGAGGAGGAGGAGGAGGAGGAGAGGAGGAGGAGGAGGAGGAGGAGGAGGAGGAGGAGGAGGAGGAGGAGGAGGAGGAGGAGGAGGAGGAGAGGAGGAGGAGGAGAGGAGGAGGAGGAGGAGGAGGAGGAGGAGAGGAGGAGGAGGAGGAGAGGAGGAGGAGGAGGAGAGGAGGAGGAGGAGGAGAGGAGGAGGAGGAGAGGAGGAGGAGGAGGAGGAGGAGGAGGAGGAGAGGAGGAGGAGGAGAGGAGGAGGAGGAGAGGAGGAGGAGGAGAGGAGGAGGAGGAGAGGAGGAGGAGGAGAGGAGGAGGAGGAGGAGGAGGAGGAGGAGGAGGAGGAGGAGAGGAGGAGGAGGAGAGGAGGAGGAGGAGAGGAGGAGGAGGAGGAGGAGGAGGAGGAGGAGGAGGAGGAGGAGGAGAGGAGGAGGAGGAGAGGAGGAGGAGGAGAGGAGGAGGAGGAGAGGAGGAGGAGGAGAGGAGGAGGAGGAGAGGAGGAGGAGGAGAGGAGGAGGAGGAGGAGGAGGAGAGGAGGAGGAGGAGGAGGAGGAGGAGGAGGAGGAGAGGAGGAGGAGGAGAGGAGGAGGAGGAGGAGGAGGAGGAGGAGGAGGAGAGGAGGAGGAGGAGGAGAGGAGGAGGAGGAGAGGAGGAGGAGGAGGAGGAGGAGAGGAGGAGGAGGAGGAGAGGAGGAGGAGGAGAGGAGGAGGAGGAGGAGGAGGAGGAGGAGGAGGAGGAGGAGGAGGAGGAGGAGGAGAGGAGGAGGAGGAGGAGAGGAGGAGGAGGAGAGGAGGAGGAGGAGGAGGAGGAGGAGGAGGAGGAGAGGAGGAGGAGGAGGAGGAGGAGGAGGAGGAGAGGAGGAGGAGGAGAGGAGGAGGAGGAGGAGGAGAGGAGGAGGAGGAGAGGAGGAGGAGGAGGAGGAGGAGGAGGAGGAGGAGAGGAGGAGGAGGAGAGGAGGAGGAGGAGGAGGAGAGGAGGAGGAGGAGAGGAGGAGGAGGAGAGGAGGAGGAGGAGGAGAGGAGGAGGAGGAGGAGGAGGAGGAGGAGAGGAGGAGGAGGAGAGGAGGAGGAGGAGAGGAGGAGGAGGAGGAGAGGAGGAGGAGGAGAGGAGGAGGAGGAGGAGAGGAGGAGGAGGAGGAGGAGGAGGAGGAGAGGAGGAGGAGGAGGAGGAGGAGGAGGAGGAGGAGGAGGAGGAGAGGAGGAGGAGGAGAGGAGGAGGAGGAGGAGAGGAGGAGGAGGAGGAGGAGGAGGAGGAGGAGAGGAGGAGGAGGAGAGGAGGAGGAAGAGGGAGGAGGAAGAGGGGAGGAGGAAGGAGGAGGAGGAGGAGGAGGAGGAGGAGGAGGAGGAGGAGGAGGAGGAGGAGGAGGGGGAGGAGGAGGGGGAGGAGGAGGAGGAGGAGGAGGAGGAGGAGGAGGAGGAGGAGGAAAAGAAGGAGGAAAAGCAGGAGAAGAAGAATGATGACAAAGCAGATAACAATAAGGAGGAGGACTAGGATTAGGAGAAGGAATAGCAAGGGGAAAAAGGCTGAAAAAGAAGAGGAACCTGCAAGCACTTATGGAAACAACAACAGCACAATCCAAAGACTCCTGCCAGTGCCCCCCATCCCCCCCTCGTGAACCAACATAGCCAACCCCAGTCCCACCACCCAGTGCCTTAAGCCCGCGCCCTAATCTCAATCGTACCTCCTGAAACCACGACCGCACTATTGCCGTCAGTTGGGACGTCTCCCGAGGTGATCAGGGCTAAGCGGGTCTCGGAGTTGTCACTGGGAGAGCCGTTCATTTGCGTGGCCGTTAACAAGTTAGGTACTGTGTTCTGGACTGCACCCTGGGGTATCGCGTCGACGCCACCATCTGTGCCGAACTGTACCACCCGATATGCCACAGCTCCTGAAGGGACAAAGTGGAAAAGAGAAAAAAAACTTTAAGTTAGCATCAGGCTCTCATCAAAATACTGAGTATTCTTCAGATGTCTAAAATGTATCACAGAGAGAAAGCTTCTTGTGCTGTGATTCTTGGATGCAATTCATTTCCTTGCAGATCTTATCATAAAATCTTGCAAGCATAGCTTAGCTCAGAAATCCATCAAAATTCAAATAACACTAGATAAGATAACACTCATGAGAAAAACACAACTAATAAATACATAAAACAAACCAAACTGTAATAATTTCTATCTCTAAAACTCTAATCACCCCAGAGCAATACTTTTCTCTTACACGTGCTAACCCTTGGCAGGAAAATAAAAATAATAATAACAACAAATAACTAAATCCTCCCTCTTGCCATCTTACCCCACTTGGAGACCAGCTCAGCACAAACACTCTAACCCTTAACAACTCCTGAATCTGTCTTCCTCCTCTAATGCCAAAGCAACCACATGCCCTTATCTTCTTTCCCGAGTCCCTCTCCCCCCCTATTATTCGCCTTTCGTTCTTACCGCTGTGCTCTGAATCAGAGCGAAGGGTGAAGCCAGACTGGGCGAGAATCGGGGACGAGCTATCGCGGACTGCTCCGTCCTCCTCCACGATGGCCAGGCGCTGCGTGAGAGCAACCTTGTCGTCCTCACACTCGCAGTCCTTGTCCCCACTGTTGGTAAAGGTTTTGTTAAGTTGGGTTAATGTTTACAGAAAATTTGAACCTGTTAATAATCCACTATGCTATCTAATTTTATGAAATATTTCAGTCAACACATGTTCCTACATTTATCATCTTTCTTATTAAGTTTGTAATTCATGTCCTGAAGGAAAGAGAGATTGGATTTGTTCATTATCTTCAGAATAATGTGGCCCTTGTTATCTGTCCAACCTGGAATTTAATATGATGCTTGGTTAAAGTCTAGAAAGCAGCTGCAGTTGCTTTCAAAAGCAGATATTTCTCTTACAATTACACAGGTAATATTCTCTCCAACTTCATTTGAATTTTGCAATAATAATGGATGGCAAGCCTGCAATCTCAAAACGGGTGTGGAGGCAGCATCAACTGGTGTAAGAACAGTGGTGGATACGAGGATAATTTGTATACATTTACCTGTTGATCTTGCAATTTATTAATTACAGGTGGGTGAGCATTAATCACATCAAACTGAAATAAATCCCATTCCATGTTCAAATACTGAAATACTAACAACCATTACCATAAAAAAATAACACCATTTTTACTTTCCTCATGTATTCTTTTAAAGTTCTATTTCCTGCCAATTTAAATATTTATAAATAGTATTGTCCTAATTTCTTACTTCAATCTAATGTACTTTCTCTCCTCTTTTTCATATTGAAAACTGACAGGCATTCTAATTCCTATAGTCACATAATATTCTGAAATAAAAAAAATACTGCAAGTTCCAAATGTAACCCATCTACCCCTGAATTACATTCTGACCACTGTAGTCCTTAGGAGAATTTTGTTGCACACAGACAGCTCCACAAATGATCAATCGCAGGAGTCAGTTATTGACCTGTTTCCTCAGTTCCTTGAATTTGTGGGAAAGTGTGGTTTTCCCTAATGCTATCAATATCAATACTTGTTTATCATTGACATTATAACCATAAACTTAATTATAAACTGAAAATTATCAATAATCTATAAAAAGTAAGTAATATGACTTAAAGCAGATCCATGTGTACGTGTGTGAGCGAGAGGGACTTTGTGTATTTGTGCGTGCTTGTGCAAGTGCATGTGCATACATCATGTCTTGTACACTATCTGCAAGGTGGCACATTATATGACTTTTTTTTATAGATAAATGAGAATAAATGCTCTTTTACTATTTCAACCCCTTCGCCATGGGTATGCCACGAGTCTGTGCCTTGCCCATTGTGGGTTTACTTGTTAGATGGCTACACTTGCACAAAGTCACCAATGAACCAGTTACGAGTACTGCCTGTCTCGCCTGTTTACCCTTTTCTTTAATTTACGAAAATATTTTACGTTATCTTAATCTGCTGGTACTAATATTTATAACTTTATAGTAATTATAATGTTTATAATAAAAACAACATCATCGATATTCATAGCACTAATAAAAAATACCTTTTCCCACCAATTCAAGTAAAGGTGAAATCAGGTAAGGCAGCGCCATCTGTGTAGAGACATTTCACAAAAAAAAAAAAAAAAAAAAAAAAAAAAAAAAAAAAAAAAAAAAAAAAAAAAAAAAAAAAAAAAAAAAAAAAATGAGCGCAGCATTTTCCCCATTTTTTATTCCCTGGCAGCAATGGGTTAAGTTAAACCAAGGTTCTATTAACTCTACCCATCAATGCAGACACTATATACATATATAAAGAGGATACTATATACATATATAAAGAGGATACTATATACATATATAAAGAGGATACTTTATACATATATAAAGAGGATACAAGAAATTAATATACATGGGAAGTTAAATTCTCTACAGAATGGTGTTTCCCAGTTGAAAAGTTTAACTCACACTAGCTTACATGATGAGAAATGTCTGTTCCAGGTTCATAAATTCTTACCTATCTAACTGCAAATAAAGTAAGTCTTGAAGTGAGACCCACATTTTTGTCTTCCCTCATCTTATTCAGTAAAATACATCAACGCATCTTCTTTTCAATTACCGACATTTGGTATATCATACATGCTAAAACTGCTTTTAATAATGTTAAATAAAATGTTAAATAGATGGAAATCTTCTTTCGAATGCTATTACCTACATTCAGACATCAACTTACAAACATGTCTCTGATTTGACTTCCCAAAAGAAGCCAAACCCATTAATTTCAGATTAAAAAGGGCAATTAACAATATAGAAGGTAATACAAAAAGGATAATATTAAAAATAAATTTCATACAAATTCCTCGTTACTTTGTAAAACATCTCAAAAGCTCATTTGCTTCAGTCAAATTAATCAAAGAAATTTGGTATTATCAAATTCATTAATGTTATGATCTTTGCAATTATTATCATCATCACTAGTACCATTCATAGTGTGTAAATTCGGGCACTACAAGCACCAAAAATGTCTAAATTGGCCTTGATCAACTACTTGCTAGTTTTAGCATCTGGGCAACAGGGCAGATCAATAAATTGCAATCTGTGGTGATTAAAAGAACATAAACACTACTCATACATATATGGGGATGTAATATGTTCAAGTTAAACCTTAATTTCTTATTTTTAAATTTTTATTTCTAATATGATGACTGTACATTGCAATTTGTAAATGAGCACACATGCAAACATACACACATTATGTATGCTTCTATACAAAAATGACTATGTTAGCAAGAGAGCAGCTCACCCTCCAGAGATGGAGTCCCAGAACCAGGGTGCCTTTCCTACCTTCTATTTATTGCCCAGACAGGGGGCAAGGCCCCCTGTACCCGCTATACTAGCACTTCGTGCCAATTTAAAGAAAACCCGACATTGACCCCAAACCGATCAGCATGACATGTACGTACATGCTGTGCCCACTTTGTTTACTTTATTAACAGTTTCTACACATATATGGCTACATTTGTACTAAGTCACCCATGACCCAATTATTAGTACTACATGTCTTACCTGTCTACCATTTTCTTGATTTTCGAAAAAATTTCATGTTTTCTCATATTGCCACTACTGTCAATAACATTACAGAAATTATAATGTCTATAATAAAATTAACATCACTGATATGGATAGAATTAGAAAAAAAAAAAAAGAAGTGAAATCAGGTAATGTCACAAAGTCTACTAAATGACTCCTTTGAGGCTAAGCACTTGCAGAACCATCTCACAAATAATACTAAAATGAGCACAGCATTTTCCTGGCGACATTAGGTTAAGAACAGATATTTTCATCATATCACAGTAAATTTGAAAGCACTGCATTGTACCTGTGTTATTTTATTGCCCTATTTTTATGCTCTATAAGATGACCGTGGCCATTTCCCTCTATCTCTGAGTATCGCTCTCAGTAGCATTAACCCAAAAATATATGCATTTGTTTGACTTTTTTTTTTCTTTTTGAAAAATTGACTCCCTAAATAACTTTAACTGATATTTATGGTTTTGTATTTCTTCCTAATCTTTACTTAGCTCTCAGATCTTTTGAAATACCTGTACACAATGTCAAAAAAGCAGTAACTGGCAAGCAACTGTAAAATCGTCAAGTCCCTCCACACTTGCAAGAAAACCAACTCATCCCAAAGGTAAACCCATGTGAGGGAATGTAAAAACACGGTCGCTAAATGTTCGCAAACCTACACGCTCTGCTGTGGACACCTAAGCAGGTCCCACTTCGAGTTTCTAGTAAAACAGCCGCAAATCCCCGAATCTCCCTGGCCTCCCTGCCTTCAGCACTTCAGCAAAGCCCAACAAGCCTCTACGGCAAGCACACTCAATCAGATAGAGCTCGCGCTGCTCCCTTGTTTATCGGCCAATCACTAGGGTGGTTTACGAGCCCTGGCTGACGAGAACATAAATGGTGCAGATGTCCCTCTGCCTTAGCAGGCTCTGGCTGGCATTTGAGTCGATGTCACTTGTTTTCCTTCTAGTCTATACTTTAGCTTTTGCTAAAATCAACATATTTCAGACGGCTGAAATCCATTCTAGACACAAGGATCAGAACCCTAAGGCTGGGCTGCAGGGAATCGCACCATGTACCGTCGGCCTGGTCCTTCGTCTCAGAGTTATCCACTTGCTTGCCTCTGGATCAGCAGCCGAGGCCACAGCCCTTCAGAAGATGCTAAAAATTATCTATTCCACAAGAATGTGCTCATAGAACTGGGTAAACGGGTATTCCTCGCATATCTAATCATTATTTCCTCTGTCGGCAGGCTCTGTATGCACCCTAGCATACGGTTCGATTTGGCACGTGAAAAAGCGGTTTAACGGCAAAAATTAAGTAGAATATAAAGTTAGAATAATTATTCAATATGAAAACTATCCTATCTCAATAATATACCTAATCCATCCTAAGCTAACACGACTTTCAATTACCATAGCCTAGCCTCGCATAGCCTAGCCTAGCATAGCACAGCCAAGCCTAGCCTAACATTACTAATCTAATATGATAATTTCAAACCAAATAATTAATCGCAGAAATCAATCAAAATCAGGAGAAAAAAAAAATTGGTCCTTCAAGGAAATAAAAAGCCCAAAACCGATTTCGCGAAACCAACGAAAACACAAAAAAAGAAATCCAGAAAGGGCATTGAAAAAAGAAATCTTACAAACAATAAAAAAAAAAGAGCACAACCACCATAACCCAAACTCCAGCTACAAACCAATCCACTAAAAAGAGAAAAAAAAGAAAACAAAAATCCCGTCAGCGCACCGACCCCAAACCAGGGACAGCGACAAGCCGCAACCCTTTGGGAATTTTGCCCATTAACTCACTCTTAAAGACCCTCCCAGACCCCTAAACTCTCTTTAAAAAAAAAATTACAACGAACTCCTAATCCCTTTAAGGAAAAAAAAAATCAAAACAAAACAAAACAAAATCAAAATAAACAGCCTTAATCCCACAAAAAAAATCAAATAAACCCCCAAAAATCCCTCTTTTTCGCCCAAAAACCACCTCGCCCTCTCCCCCAAAATCCCCTTAAACCCCCAAAACACCTTAGAAACCCCTAACACCCCTAAAACCCCTTAAAACCACCTTAATAATCCCTAAAACCAGCGAGGAGAGTCCCAAACCCCTCCTGAGAAACACCCCCTCAAATCTCCCTTAAAAAACCCTTAAAAACCCTTAAAAAAAAACTTAAGAAAGCCGGGGGGGTACCTTGTGTCGAGCGCCGTCTGTATCATGTCCATGGGTGAGGCGCCGCTCCTTCAGAACCACCCTATATATGTATCTGGCACGAGAGGCACGAGTCACGAGGCGACCATCGGGGGGACTCAAGGTCATGTGACTCTCGGCCGGGAGGGGGGGGGGGGGGGGGGGGCTGATGCTCCTCTGGGGTTCTCCTTCGGGTTCTTTCTTTAAGGGTTCCTCGTGAGGGGGTTTGGGGGGGAGGTTCTGTTCCTGTTGTTGTTGTTGTTCTTGTTTTCTTGTTCTTTATCCTTGCCTGTCCTTCGGGCGCCTCCCCCTCACGTGTCTCTTTTCCGTGTTCCCGAGGGCGTGGGTGGCGCTGGGGAGGTCCCACGGGCGCAGCTGAAGGGCGTGGGTGGGGATCGAGGCTGATTCAAGGGTTTGGTGGGGTTTCGGGCGTATTTTTCGGGCGTGAAAAGGGGAGGATCTGAGGCTCTTTGGGCGGAGGATGGCCGTCGCGCGTGGCCGGGGGGGTTGCTGGCGGCGGGTTTTTCATGCCATTTATTCCTTCTTTATCGGTGTCTTTCCATTCCTCATTCGTCTATCTGTGTTTCATTTACGTAAATTTGGGTTGAAGTGAGACTGGTGGTAGAAAGAGAAAGATTCATTCACGAGCAGAATAAACTTCGTAAAATTCATATCGAATAACGTTCCTCTAACGTTTTCCTCTTTGAAGTTGCTGTCAGAGAAAATGGAATTCATTATTTCTAAGATAACTTTTGCAATATTCATGTCTTTACTCATTGGTATTTTGGCCGAGTAACAATACACGGCGCCATGAAAAAAAACTCGTTATATAATTAGTTAGTGATATACAAGAACTCCTGGTAAAATATCCCTCCTTTACCCTATATATAAGTATAAAATAAACGTATGCTTGTGATTCGTTGTTGTATTTATATATAAATTTCATGAATGTACTATGTCATCCATGCTTTGATTGCAAGAAACGTTGGGAGTTTTATTTGTTGATGCCCTTAATTCTAAAATATATATATATATATATAAGGAGAAAATCATATGAAAAAATTGCTAGACTGGCACCTTAGTATCTGTTATCATACGTTACTCTTATCATTTACCTTCTTTTATCGTCCTTTTCACTAAGCCAAGCATCCTTACCTGAGTCAGAATTATCACTAAGATAACTACGGGTCTCTCTCTCCCTCTTACACACACACACACACACACACACACACACACACACACACACACACACACACACACACACACACACACACACACATATATATATATATATATATATATGTATATATATATATATATATATATATATA